TTTAACATAAATTTTAATTTTGGTGTTATTATGCCATTTTGATACAAAGTAAAACTTACAAACGTTTAATAAAGGTATCTCACAGCAATTCATTTGGCTGGTGGATACTGAAATTAAAAAAAGGAAAATAATTCTGAATATTGTATTTTCCACTGAAATGGTTAGAAAAATTTTTTTTTTCCTCAAAAGTTTTATTAGTACTTGATAATAAAAAGGACTTCTTTTCAGTTCAGAAAATTGGCTAATAGGTATTATTTTAAAACTGATATTATCTTCTGTTTTCGCATCGCTTTTGAACAGGCTTCTCAGCAATTGAAATGTGGTTCAAATGTAAACACAAATATAGATAATTAGTTATGTCCGCGAAAAGACACGTATCATTTTCAGATGCGCTAAAGGTGCATTTATTCAGGCTATAATGAATTATAATTTTTTTCTTCTTTTCTAATGCATTAGGTTTATGACCGGAAATTTGGATATTTTTTTGCCGCTGAATTCAAATTCGCAATCGATTTCACTCTACCAAATACAGTTCATATGCAATTTGATTTTATATTTCTATCCAGAATTTTTTTACCTTTAATTTGTGTGCCTACTTACAGTTCCCACTTCTCCGTTTCGTAGAAAGTGGTAGGATTAAGAAGATAATACAATTACGTTTACGGTGCGATAAATTATGTTGGTTTGTCATGGAAAAAATAATCCATATTACTCTTTTCCATAACAAACAAATATCATTAATTCATAGCTACCATTTATCAAGCTGAAATCGTCTTCCTTACAAAAGAGATGCAGCGACGTTATAGGCAACTAAAATGCAAAAAGTGGTAGAAATTTTATTTATTTATTATTTGATTAATAACATTATGGGTTACATTTAAAACTGTTCTTGTTGAAAATTTAAGGAAAATCATTCTCTAAATCCACTTGCACTCGTAAACTAGAAATGAAAACTTCTCCGCTTTCTGCAAAATTCTAACAAATTGGTAGCGAATTGAAGCGTTAATCAAGAAGAATTAAAGCCCACTCTTTAACACATTTACTAAGAGACAACAGTAATAATGTAGCATTTCGAAGGATACTTTATATTTTTTATATGTCAAATTGCTTGTCTTCAAATTTGAGCTGGGCACTTGAACCGCTCAGCAACCCCTATCCCATCCATCATGTTTCTTATATTTGTGATACAACTTTAAGATTAGATGATTCCTGTGTCGTCTGCATAAAAATCTGTTCTATTAATTGGAAAATCGTAAATGTATAAAATATTCAGAATCGGTCCGAGTATGCTGTTATCTGCAGAGATACCATCCCACACACTGTCTCCTTCGTATGCACCTCTTTCACGAATGTTTGTTGGATGATATTGTGTTCTAGGTTCACTGCAAATGAAACAACGCCTACTATGTTTACGAATTCTGCACCCGGCTCAGATCGATCACAGTGCTGATGCAAAATATCCTCAGTGGTAGACGGATAATGGGTTAGAGTCCCCTTGCATTTAGGATAATCGTGGATTTTTAGGATTTTCGTAGTTTTGTTCTCCATGTAACATGCCTCTGCGTAAGTCCCATAAAATAGTCCTGTAAGAAGCTAAAGTTTTCTTAATATTTGATCCAGAAGTTCCTTTATCTTCTGGATTGGGTTCAAAATTACAAGGATATGGAGTTGAACATTGGCAGTCACTTCAATCATTGGTAGTCGCGAAAAATCAAAATTGGGTCCAGTGTTCCACGAATTTATAAAAAAAGAGGAATGAAAGGTTTTCATAGTTTTATCATTAATAATCTTCAATTAGATTTAATGTCACACAGATGGATTTCCCAGTTTCTGGAGTTTAATGTAGTGAAGTACTGAATTTTTTGGATGGAAGGAAATATGTCGAATTATGGTTTTTGTGAAAAGGAAAACTTAAAATTATTGAAAAGAACTCATCATCATAGTTGTCCTGACATCCCAAAGTGAGCCAATGCCTTCCTCTGAAGATTTCTCCTTGACGACTTCTGATTTATCTTTGATCTCCAATTCTTTTCATTATTTGCTGGAAAATCAGACTCCTCTGAGTCAACCCATCTACACTACGTCCTTCCCCGCTTTCTTGTTCTAGTGGGTCTAAAAAGCACTATCTTTTTTATTGTATTGTCATCACTCATTTGAATCACGTGGGTCATACAATTCATTCTATATATTTTTATGTATTTAATAATATCAGGTTGTTTATAAATCTTGTACAGTTTAAAATTAAATCTCCTTCTCCAGTTATTTTTCTCATTTACATCACCAAGTATACCGCAAAATCTTTTTCTCAAATGTGGCGATACAATTTTCCTCCCGTTTTGTCATTGTCCAAACTTTAGAAGGGTATGTCAAGACTGACCGGACATGAGTTTTGTAGATTAAGAGCTTTGTTTTTCTAGAAAGAAACCTAGATTTAATAAAACTTCTTAGCCCATAGACAGCCCTATTTGCCAGATAGACTCGGTTTTTTATTTCAGGAGTAATTCTCTTGTCAATGTTAATAATTGATCCTAAGTAAGTAAAACTCTTTACTAGGGGAGGAAATGCCTCTCTCTGGGCAGGAAGAGAACGAGCAATTATATCTACAACTTCAGCATATGCAAGTAGTTGTACTGATCGATTAAAAATGTGGACACTGATATTGATGTTTGAATCACGAATAACTCTCTCAAGTACAATATTAAAAAGAAGACAGGAGAGAGAATCTTCCAGTCGAACATCTATAAGCGTGTCTAGATTTTCTGAGAGAGACCCCAGAAACTTAATCTTACATTTTGTATCTTTCAATATAAGTCTCGTCAATTTAATGAGTTTTGAAGGTATTTTAAAAGTATTCATTGTTTGTAAAAGATAATTCCTATTGATACTATCAAAAGCAGCTTTGAAATCAATAAAAAGATGTTATGTTTCAATGTTAAATCCAACTGATTTCTCTAAAATCTGATGGAGACAAAGTATAGCTTTATAAATGACAAAATAAAAATAGTTGATTTTCCAGCACGGAATCCACATTGATATTTTCCTATTTGTGAGACAATAAATGGTAACAGTCTGAGATATAAAATTCTAGATAGAATTTTATAAGTTATACAAAGAAGACTAATGCCACGATAGTTGGCACTGGTCATAGGATCTCCTTTCTTGTGAATTAGGCACAAAATGCTTATATTCCTATTCGTTGGTATAATCTCAGAGTGCCAGATGTCAGTAATAAGTTCAAATAAGTTTATCAATAATGTAGTTTCACAATTCTTTAGTAGTTCTTCTGAAATAAGGTAATGTACCGAAACCTTCTTATTCTATATGTTTTTAATTGCAACCCTGATCTCCTCCACGGTTGGAGCCTCAACTTCTATCCCGTTTATTAATTAAGGTGCAATTATTTCAACATCCTCTTAATTTTCAATAAGAAGTTCGTTAAAATGTTCATGACATCGCTTTAAAATGTTTTGTTTATCAGTAATAATTTCACCAAATTTGTTTTTGCATAGACTAGAGGTCTGTTTAAAGTCCAATCGACTGCGGTTAATTTTCCGATAGAATGCTCTGCATTCATTAAAGGATTTCAGATATTCAACATCTTTAAGCAATTCTTAATTAAAGACCCTTTTCTTTTGCCTAAAGCAGGGGTCGGCAACCTGTTTGTCCTTAAGGGCGCAATACTAAATTTGAAAATCACCGAGTGCGCTTACTTTACAGATAATCAACAGGTATAAATAGGCATTAAAAAAAAACAGATTTTTTATAACTTTATTTTGTTGATGTCATACATAATGATACATATAATTCAGTGTGAAACTTGGGTGTCCATATTTTCAGCTAATTTCTTATAACTGGGGATATATTTAGTTCTTATAGTTCCCGGTCCTTAAACAATTATCTAAATGTGAGTCATTAAGCTTTGTTCGGTATTTTGATTTCAAATATTTCATATATGAGAACAAAGACTCGCGATTGTATGTTGTTGCTCAATATGAATAAATTTTTAGCGCACATTTCCTTAAAATAGGATACTTATTTTCATCGACTAAGTTCCAAAACATTTTATCATTACTATGCTCTTTTAAAATAATATAATTTTGCAAGTTTATTATTTCTAATTCTAGGTCTTCGATATTATGAAGCTCGAAATACACTGAAACTATTTCAAGGACATCATCTTCAGTAACATTGAATGGATTTATGAAAAATCTTAGAACGGGTTCAAATGCTGCAAAATCTTCAAATCTAGAAGAAAACTCTTCTATTAGCTTATCTATAATTTCTAAATATGATGTAGCAGTAAAATTTTCATTATTCAAATTTAAACTCTCAACAGTATATTTTATATTTGGGAAATGTGATAATGATTTTTTCAATAGATGGGATTTCAACAACACTAACTTGCATTAGAATGCATTTACTGCACTAATCATGTCAGCGATATGCTGATTTTTCTCTTGCATTTTTAAATTTAATTCATTCAACTTTGCCGTTATATCTGTCAGAAATCCGAGGTCGATTAGCCAATCCTTATTTTCCAATTGCTCGTAAAATTCGCCTCTTGATTCAATAAATTCCTTTATTTGTGGCAAAAGCATGATAAACCGCTCAAGTATTTTACCTCTGCTCAGCCACCTCACTTCAGTATGTAAAAGAAGATCTGTGAACTGAACGTCCTCATCTTCTAAAAGTAATTTAAACAATCTGTGTTGCATAGCTCCCGATCTTATGGAATTAATAATTTTTGTTACTATCCTAAATACGGGTTGAAAACCGATTGTTTTTGCGCATAACATTTCCTGATGTATGAGGCAATGATAAGAAATAAATTTCGGGAATAAGGAATCCTGTCTACATAAGGCAATAAATCCTTTTTTCTTACCAGTCATCGCTGGTGTCCTGTCTGTTGTAATTGACAATAACTTTTGTACAGGTAATTTAACGTCTGTTATATACTTTTTAAAAGTAGAAAAGATATCTTCTCCTCTGGTGCTTCCCTTTTATGGCAGAACTTTAAGGAATTCTTCTTTTGTAAAATCAGAAAATACCATCTTCACGCAAATTGCTAATTGTGATATATTTGTCACGTCTGTCGATTCATCCATCTGTAGCGAAAAGAAAATACAATTTTCCATATAATTTGCTAATTCTGCCTCCAAATTCTCCGCAATTACTTCAATTCTTCTAGTAACAGTTCGTGCTGATAATTGCAACGTGTTTATAGCTGAAACTATTTCCTTTTTATTTCTAAATTCTTCAAAAAGTGAATCAGCAGCTTCTACCATGGCTTCTTTCACTAATTCTCCATCTGTAAATGGTTCTTTATTCTTAGCTAGCAAATGCGATATTTTATATGACGCGATCATTGCTGCTTTATGTTGTTGCAGTGGTTTAGTAAAAAAACTTTGCTGGTTAGTTATTGAAGATTTTAAAGAAATAATTTTTTTTCTTCTAATTTCAGAGTTCATTGGATAGTCAGTATCAAAATTGGTATGAACAGTCTTAGAATGTCGTTCAACATTACTTTTCTTGAGAATCGCAACACTATTATTACACAACAAACGAATACACTTCCCTTTGTAATCAACGAAACAATATAGATGTTCCCATTCATCGTTAAAATAATATGTTCTTTTTCATTTACATTTATCCATGAAGGGTGTTAAAAAACAAAAAACTAGAACTATAACAACTCTATTTTAAAAAGAAACACAACGTTATTAAACTTAACAACGTTTATTATTTAAAACATAACGAAAGCATAGCAAAGAAGCGTTATACCAAAGATAAACAAACACAAGCTCAAACATAAAAGCAAACTGAAACTAAAACAGCACGTTACAATACAGTCACAGTTAACCTAGCTGATGCGTCAGAAACTACATCAGTGGCGAAACTAGATCACCCATCCAAACTAGATCACTGTTTAATTTAGGATCCAGTTCATCGCTTTCAACAAAGGGTTTTGAAAGAAAACAATTATTTCGGATTACTTGGTAGTTTTAAACGCACGGTCTACGCGTGGTCTATTCGAAATACGATCACACACTAACAAAAAATACGTGCGTGCTATTAGATACGCTCAAGGTTAGCAAACTGCTAATCTATGCGCAATCCTAAACTCAACTGACTACTTGTTGTATATCGCCGTTTGACAAGAGTAAGTAAATCACTCTGGCTATCATACATTTACATTAGTCCAGCGAGGGCACATTAAAAATCGATCGGGGGCGCCATGGCACCCGCGGACGCCGCGTTGCCTACCCCTGGCATAAAGAGTTTCTTAACCTCTTTTATGCGTCCATTGTACTCCTCTGCACTATTTCTTGTATCATAGGTTTATATGCAACATTCTTTTTATCATTAGCAATGGCACAATCAATAGCATACCAATCCTTATCGTGTTTCTTAGTTACTTCACCAATCACGGTATTGGCAGCGTTACAGATACTGTCTTTTATACATTTCCATTTATTTTCCACAGTACCATCACAATTCTTTATATTCAACTTTTCCTTTACTTTTTCGCAATATTCAAGTCTTATCCTTTCATTTTTAAGTTTATCACAGTCATGTTCTCTCAAAGTCTCTCCCTTAAACTTTTTGCATTTGATGATCTTGATCTGACTTTGGCAATAATCAAGAAGTGATCTGAATCCACATTAGCCCCACGATAAGTTTTCACGTCCATCAATTCTGAGTAATGTCTTGCGTCAGTTAGTATGTGATCAATTTGATTAGCATAAGTGCCACATGGGGCACGAATGAATATTTAATATTATGAATATTTTTATGCGGATAGGACAGCATAATAGGATCACATAATAGGACCTATAATCTTACGTGAAGCAGCAAAATCAATTAATTTGTGTCTATTATCATTGGTTGTATCACGCAAGCTAAATCCACCAGTTACAAATTTAAATTCCCTTTCTCTACCTACTTTAGAATTTAGAGCTCCTAAAATAATTTTTACATCATATTTTGGACAACTGTAATAAATTTTGTCTAAATTTTCATAGAAAATTTCCTTTTCTTCCTCTGTTGTATTTTCAGTTGGTGCTTAAGAAAAGAAAATACTGAAATTAAAGAACTTTCCCTTAATTCTGAGCTTGCAAAGTCTCGGAGAGGTTACCTCAAAATCCAAAATCAAGCGTCGTATTCTTTTGCTTATGATAAAGCCAGTGCACTCAATATGTTTTTTGGGGTGACAACTGTAAAAAGCAGTTTGATTCCTTTTATTAAATGTTCCATTGCCAATCCATCTAACCTCCTGAATGGCAATCAAATTCATATTTGTGGTCAGGTGACATTCATGAATTCAGAAATATTTATTCATGCTTTGAGACATTTTGTTATTCTTAACCATTTTTTACGGATTTGTTCTTTTAACCTTCAAATTTTTATTCCTTTCTCAACAACGGATTTATACTTTAAAAATTGCAAGGAGATTATCAAGTACATAAAAATAAGTGTTTAATGCTTAATTGAAATTTGTCTTTTTGCATGTTTCGCAATATATCGACGAATTTTCAAGCTCATCGAAACATTTCATACACATTTATAAAATTCATTTACTCAAATATTATTCTATGCAAAAAAGTAGCTTTAAATTTTCTTTTATAATTTATTATTATTTTTGAGAAACCATTTCAAAAAATGAATTTTAAGGTATATGAATTATTAAATCATTTCAAGAAATGTAATTTAAAACAAAAAAATGTACTGCTTCCTTTTACGTGACAAATATTTAGATAGGAATGAGGTAGTTCAAAATTTAGAAACTAATGTTTCAGAAAATAAAATATATTTAACATAAATTTTAATTTCGTGAGATCTTTACTTCTATTACATTGCTGAGGAATATAATAAAGGTACCTGACAGCAATACATTTTGCTGGTAGATACTGAAAAAAAAGTTAGATTTTTCTGAATATTTCATTGAAATGGTTAGAAAAAGTTTCTTTTATTTAAGTTAAAAAAACTTGTAGTAATTGATAATTAAAAGGACTTCTTTTGAGGTCAGAAGATTGGTTGATAAGTATTCTTCTTTTAAGTCTGAAAATTTCTTCTGTTTTCGCATCGCTCTTGCACTGGCTTCTCAGCAATTGAAATGTGGTTTAATTATAAGCACATATATAGATAATTAGATCTGCCTGAAAGTTCTGCTCGCGAAAAGCCAAGCATCATTTTCAGATATACAAAAGGTGCATTTATTCAGGCTATAATGAATTAAAAAATTTTTAATTATTTTTTAATGCATTAGGTTTTGACCGGTAATTTGGATATTTTTTCACCGCTGAACTCAAATTCGCAATCGATTTCACTCTAAAAGATACAATTTTTACGCAATTTATTAATATATTTCTACCCAGAATTTTTGAAAATTTTATTTGTGCGCCTACTAAAAGTTCCCAATTCTCTGCTACGTAGAAAGTGGTAGGAAGAAGGAGATGATACAATTACATTTACGGTGCGATAAATTATGTTACTTTGTAATGGAAAAAAATAATCGATATTACTTTTTCCCATAACAAACAAATATTATTAATTCATAGGTACTATTTATTAGGCTGAAGTCGTGTAAATTAAAAAATATATAAATATAAATGCAGGTTTCAAAGATGTTCAAAAAACATCCTAACTATCTGATCCCCTTTAACTCTTACGGATTCCTAGGGTTCCAAAGAACGCTATTTGAGAATCTTTGATATACATCATTGCTACACAGTTACAAAATTCATTTTCCCAAAGATTATTCTATGCAAAAAGTAGCGTTAAATAATTATTTAAAATGCAGTATTATTTTTGTGAAAACATTTAAAAAAAATTTTGAATTTTTTAGTACATGAATTATTAAATCATTTTAATAAATGTAATTTTAAATGAATAAAAAAATACTGCCTCCTGAACAAATGTTGAAATAGAAATAAGGTAGTTCAAATTTTAGAAACTACCGCTTCAGAAAATAAAATATCTTTGATATTATTTTTAATTTCGACAATTCTATACCTAAAGGGCCAGCTTCAAGCATTTAAAAAAAGATTCCGACAGCAATGCATTTGGCTTATTGACACTGAAAATGAAAAAAGGAAAATATCTCTGTTTATTGTCTACCTCATTGATATGGTTAGAGAAGGTTTATTTTTTTAAAGTTGTGATAGTAATTATTAATAATAGGACTTCTTTTGAGTTCAGAAGATTGGTTGATCTGAAAATTTCTTGTTTTCGTATCTTGAAAAGGCTTCTCAACAATTAAAATGTGGTTCAATTCTAAAAACAAATACAGACAATTAGATCTGTCTGAAAGTTCTGTTTGCGAANTGTCTGAAAGTTCAGTTCGCAAAAAACACGTATCATTTTCAGATATGCAAAAGGTGCATTCATTCATGCTATAATGAATTACAATGTTTTTTATTTTCTAAAAGAAATTTATTTTCTAAAAGAATTTTTATTTTCTAAAGTTTTTAACCGAATATTTGGATATTTTTTGCGTCGCTGATTTCAAATTCGCAATCAGTTTCACTCTATAAGATACAGTTTTTATGCAATTTAATAATATATTTCAATTAAGAATTTTTTAAAAATTAATTTGTGTGCCTACTAGGAGTTCACACTTCTCCGCTACGTAGAAAGTGGTAGGAAGAAGGAGATAAAACAATTACGCTTACGGTGAGATAAATTATGTTAGTTTGTCACGGAAAAAGTAATCGATAATACTTTTTTCCATAACAAACAAATATTCTATCCAAACAAATATTATTAATTCACAGCTACCATTTATCAATCTGAAGTCGTGTTCATTACATAGGGCTCCCACGTTCCTTGAGAATTTTAAAAAGCTGTAGCGAAAGTAAAACAAATTTTGATATTTTAATTTCTGTGTAGTTACCACTAATAATTGTTTTTAAAAAAATTTATATATGCATGAAAATTCCTGCATATAATGATAAAATACTACAGTAAAATAAAAAATATATTGCACCCTAAACTTACTACCAATAACATTTTTTAAAGGAATGCGGGAACCCTGTTGCAAAAGATATGCAGCCACAGCACAAGCTACTAAAATGTAAAAAGTGGTAGAAATTTTATTTATTTATTATTTGTTTAATAACACAGTGAGTTACATTTGAAATTGTTCTAGTTGAAAATTTAAGAAAAATCATTCTCGGAATCCACTTTCAGTAGTAAATTAGAAATAAAAACTTCTCCGCTTTCTACAAAATGCTAATAAATTGGTAGCGAATTGCTATTAGGAAAATTGCGCCCACTCTTTGAAAGTGTAGCCACGAGACAACAGTAATAATGTTGCATTTCTTACGAAACTTTATATTTTCTAATATGTCAAATTACTTGTCTTGTA